TTCGGTCTGTCCTGTGCAGGTGTATCTTTAGTCCCTTAGAAGACTTTTCTGTCTCGCTCTCTGTTCCCAAGATAAATCTTAGTCATAAAGCCACTAGTCTTCTTTTCACTTACAAATATATTGCCAATGTAGACTCAGAGCATAAGGAAACTTTGGCAGCTGGGCATTGGTTTCAGATTTACAGCAGCTCACGCAGAAATTGATACCAGGTAAAATCCTCAAGGTTGGCACCATGCAGCTTTCATGCAAGATAGCATGTTGGGGTAAATCTAAATACCCTCGATTTTTTACTCAATTCACTGATGTTTATAAATATTAGAAAATCACCTTCACTAGGCTTTGACTTCACATTAGTCATCAGCTACTACCTAACATCGAATAGTATGTCACTTTTCTTACAGAAGTGGCACTTTTTGAGAGCTAGTAAGACAGCTTTTGACAGTGAATTCTTTAGCTTCTGCAGGAAGAATGACTTTTGTATTGTGTTGATGAATATATTATGGGCGGGTCAGGTGTAAATAGTTATTTTCCTCAATTTAAATTAGAGCAGCAATCATTAAGTACAGGCAAAGGGGGTAGAAGAGATCACAGGGCTGGAAACTAGCTTGTGAATAAAAAAACCTACTGAAAATACTGAATTTTTTCTTCTGTAGAAGAAAAGGGAAAGTATATTTAGAATGACACAAAATACTGAATTTTTTCTTCTGTAGAATTTAGAATGACATGCTGGCCTCCAAGTTCTTTTCCATTTTACACACATATTAGATTTTAGGTTACTGGGATGCTTTCTATTCCTCTGTCTGCTGTACTCTTGAGATCACTTGCACAAGTGAATTAAAATATTAAAATCACTCTCTTCAAACCAGAAGGTATGTTCTTCTTAACTTAAATGCTTTTTGTCTCATGAGACTGCAGCAGTCACAAGGAAGAGACTGCACAATGGTAAGACATTAACCCATTTTTCTCATTTTGTTAAAATGTAGGTCACTTAAGAGATTAGGTTAAATGTGACGTGTGTCACAATTCTTACTTGTAAAACCAGATATATTTTCTTACATCAAAAGATTCAGTAAAAATAGTGTATTTTTAAAGTGGGTTTTGTTGTAGGAGACCATTTTTTCAATTTTCATGTAATCTTGTAGTAGAAAGGCATAGTGTAGACAGTCAGACACAGTAATGTTTTGTAGATGAGCTTAATGAGTTACATGGGGCATAAAAGGAAATTATGGAAAAACAGATTGAGAACAGATGTTAGAATCATTTTTTCTCTTGGAGAATAACAATATGTGTAATGGCCTAATGGGTTAGGTTGATAAAGCAAAAACCCTGATACCAATTAAGTTCTAAATTAGAGGCACCTTTGGAGAAATATGAATTTCTAAAATGTAAAACCTTGGCAGATTAAATTATCTTAATTCATAAAAATATTATAAAATAAATTATATTATCTCTTGTTATTGCATGGTTTTTATAGGACTGAAATTGGAATGTTAAGGCATAGAGAGACATTTTCCTGAAATGTGTAAATAAGATGAAAATGTTTTAACTAGAATTTGTAAAGGTTTAGTGTTTCCTTTCCGCTTAGTTGTGTCTTTGAATAAAATTAATACCTTAACTGATATTACAAAAATAACAGAACATCTGTGGGTAGTGCTGAATTAGAAATGCTGTTAAGTCTCTATATGATCAAAATTTAAATATTAATTATCTTTCCAGAGTATTAGACTACATTAAGTAGTGCGTGGTTATTGTACGTTGTCTTTAAAAAAAAAACCTGCTTTGTGCAATACAGAATGGCAGGTGTTATATAATGCTATTGCTTTGATACTGCTGTGCTTCAGGTTTGGAAATATGTCATGTCAACCATTCATAATGCTGCAAGTAGGTGTTTTGAATAGATGCCAATAAATATTCAGAGAACTTGCAACTTTTTACTATTATTTAAGGGGATAAAAAATTGCATATTGCTGGAAATTTATGTCAATTACCTGGACTAGAATAGAAATTTCTACTCAATTAGCTGTTACTGTTTTCAAATTCTTATAGAATGACGTCAAGCTTTTGTGATATTAGCTTAGCAGTCCATAATTGGTGTACTACAGGAATACAATTATGAATAGCTTATATAATTATGATACCACTTTTTAAAGTTTTTCCTTTTTGTTTTCAATTCTGGTAATTTCCCTGTTTTGGCGGGCCTTTTTGCTATGTACTTTGACAGCAAAGGAACGATAACATTACTGTTCCTGGCAATGCTTCTTCTTTCTTAGGTCAGAAATGCAGGAGACATTATAAAGAAGTGGGCAAATATAAGACTTGACTGCATCAAATTTCTTAAAGATTTTAAAGGGTTAACTTTATAGTTAACTTTATGCCAGATCAGTTATTGTCTGTGTTTACACAGCCAGGATAATACCAGCATAAAAACAATGTGACAATTTATATTCTGGATCTGACAGTTTGGATAAAGCAAGGAAAAAGTCATTATTAACTGTACTTCATCCAGATCAAATGTGTAGAGTTAGTATCCAGCAGTGCAACCAATATGTGAGGGTATCTGAGAAACAGTTATTAATAAGCACAAGCAATAACTGATATATATATATAGGAATATATACGCATGCACTGAATAGCAATCTCAGAGTTAAAAAAAAAAAGTTCAATTTTATCTTATGAGGATTTGTTTGGTAAATACAATACTCTTATTACTACACTTCTATGTTTCCAAATGTCTCCAAGCTGAGGATATGAAAGGGCTTTATAAAATTAGGGCTTGAAGTACATGGCAGTCTTTCAGCTGTCTTGTAAAGGGACTGAACAAAAAGCTCATTAAAGTCAATGAGAGTTTTCTATTGGCTTTAATGGCTTTGGATAAGACTCTTTATGAGTTAAGCTTCACAATCCAGTGTAAGGGCAAAAAGGCTATTATCCTCCTTATCTTCCTGGGAAATCTGAGACACAGGTAGGTTGAGTAGCTTGCCATAAAACAACTTTTTGACTCAGCCAGGGCCCTAACCTAGTCCTCTTACTAAAAATGCATCTGTATTGTAATGTGTTTATGCTCAAAACTAAATCCTGTTGAACTTGAGCCTGGCGTTTATTTAACAGAAGTTTTACATTCATAAGCTTCAAATGAGTAAGTTGCTTTTAGTTAGCATTACTGTTGAGGCCGTATTTATGCTTGTCCACGTAAGCAATTCTGTACTGTAAGTTGATGCAGTAAACTATCTGAAAAAGATTCTTGTCTGTTTAACTATTTTTTTTGTTCATCAGCCCAAAGCTGTAGACTGTGACTAGAAAACTCTGTAGACTAGAATGACATTCAAAATAAGTGAATATGCTGAGTTTGTTAGTTATTTTAATTGGCTTTTCAAAGGCTATCATCATCTCTGTCAGATATAAGATAGAAATGGTTTAACTGTTAACCCTCAATGAGCAAATTCAATTAATACCAGTAATGGAGTGTGGCCTATCATAATTATTTTCTTAAACTGATCCAGTGTTCCTCTCTGTAACTACTGTTAGTGAATACAAGTAGTCAAACCCAGAAAATACGAAAAGTTCGTTAGACAGTAAGGTGAACTGAACTAAGACACTTGTAGTGAAGTGCAGTGCATGTCCACTGGTAAAGGAAATATTTGAACCAAGAGGTCTGCAGCCTGTGAGAACTGTGCTGCTTCATATGCTCTGTCTTCTTCTAAGCGAGGTTCAGAGGACAGTTGAAGCAAGAAGCAGATATCTTTCTGCAGTTCTGGATTTCTTGTGTAATAGGAAAGAAAGAATGCCACATGTCCTACAAGTCCACATCATCTTGATGATGATCTTGCCATCT